CTGATAGTATACGTCATATTGACAGCTGATATTTTACCTCACATTGACAGCTGATAGCATACGTCATATTGACAGCTGATAGTATTGGTCACATTGACAGCTAATAGTATACGTCATATTGACAGCTGATATTTTACCTCACATTGACAGCTGATAGTATACGTCATATTGACAGCTGATAGTATACGTCATATTGACAGCTGATAGTATTGGTCACATTGACAGCTAATAGTATACGTCATATTGACAGCTGATATTTTACCTCACATTGACAGCTGATAGTATTGGTCACATTGACAGCTAATAGTATACGTCATATTGACAGCTGGTAGCTCACATCACACTGAATGCTGAAACGCCACGTCACAGTGAATTGCATACAGTAATAATAAATTGAAAATGTCCTACCTTTTTCATCGTGGTTTCTTGTAACACTGTTCACACTTGTCAGATGAGATTAATTCCGATTTAAACGATTTTAATTAATGTGAGACGGAGTTAACTTATCGTTTTAAAATTTCAATTACAGGACAGTCTTTGCTTCTATGTGCACCATTTAAATTTCCAGCTAAACGTCTGTTGTTAGTTTCTCTCATTATACAAAAACTTGACTAAATAATGAAGTTGGAAGTTTTTGGAAACCGAGGTTGACTTTCCACTTAGAGAAACTCCTTGACCAATAATGCCCACCCATTTACAGTTGAATAGGCTTAAAGGATGCTTATAGTCTGGAACATTCTAGCCTTTGATGATATTGAGGGTATGACCGAACTACAAAAATATCCATCTTGTCGAATATATTTGGCTTTTGCGGATCCGATTGAAATAAATAGGTTATAGTAACCCACACCTTCGGAGATCTCCATAAAACAAGGGTTAATTTTTCTGTCTCTACACCAGCCGACAACTGTCAAAATAGTTATCAGAGGTTGGAATAGAGGCAGATGTTTCGGTCTATGCTGATAGATGACTTACTCATGATCCCTGTAAGTTTACAAGTGTTTCAAAGGGTTAAGTCAATCAAGCGATGTATTGGGCCAATTAATTTACAAAAGTAGGTCCAAACCCTTTAATTACAAACTATACATACGCAATTTTAACTCTTAAACAATTTATCCTAATGACTGTTATTAAAACTGAACTATTCCAACCGACTGGACCATGGTTTGGGTGTGGACAGGGTCAAAACTTATCAAATAATATCACACCGAGAGCTGTCCAGTGACGATACACAATTCTATGGTACACTGCTCCTGAGTTTTTGTTGTACACAACGTTTCAACGATTTACGCCGTCATGACAATGTTATGTACAATAATTTAAAGGGACAGATGTGCCATTTTGGGGGGTTGGTTTTACTCTTGAATATATGTAAATAGTCTTCAGAAGTACTAGAAATGTATTAAAATCACATAATTCCTTTAAAAATATCTCAAACTAGGAATTTTACTCACTATTTCTTTTCTATATATCACAGAGTATCATAAATTCGACGAGTCGTCAATTTAACATTCAAAGGCAGATAATTCTGGGCACACGTGAATTTAAGGGCTCGAATTTCGACGGTG